GCCCGGGTTCCTGGCAATCAGCTGTGATTTCTCCGCGTGGAGGCGCGAGCTGGTGCGGAGAAGGACGCTCGAGGCCGCAGGGAACCGGGAGGGTCGGAGGGGCGCTGGGGGCGAGCGAGCGCGCCTGTGGTCCTCGGGTGCCGCGATGTCAGCACAGTGCTGTGCGGGCCAGGTGAGCGGGGCTAGGCGCCGTGCGGGGGCGACGACGCACCGCGCGATGGGGCTGCGCGGCTTCTCCGGGTGTGCGCCCCGCCTCGCGGCCGAAAGGGAGGCGGCTGGTGGGTTGCTCCGGGCTGACCCCGAGCCTCCTGGGTTAGATAGAGCCTCCGGCCTGAACGCGGCGCTCGGCGGTCAGGGAAACCCTGTGCCACGGACGGGAGGGAAGGGACACGGGGAAGCCGAGCGGCTACCCCGAGGTCCACTCTCCGTCCTTAAGAACTTCGCTGAGGGCGGGGCGGGCAGGACTCGGGCCGAGGATCCTCAATGCTCCCGGAGCGTGTCAACTCCCCCAGGCCGTGAGTGTGTGGTGCTGAGCTCGGTAGCACTCCAGGCTCTGCCTGTCAGATGTACCCAGGAAAGACGTGGGATTGGGCAACTTCTCCTTTCCCAAGCTCTGAACAAAACTCGGGGCAGATGGCCCAAGCAGGTCGCACTTAGCATCTCGCAAGGCTAGAGCATTGGCTCTGAACTTTCGGGAACGTTTCGAATCCTGGTTTCCAAACTACAGGGCTCAGGTCTGGGCGCAGGAAAGACTCAGCCCTGCTTCCTGTGTTTCCCGACCCAACCCTGGCCAGTCTAAACACGGTTGCCTGGGTAGAGCGTGAGCCTCCCCGTCCCCCGTTTTAACTGAACTTGCCCGAACCTGTTTTGTAACTCTGGCCTATTAAACTCATGGTATCTTAAAACATAACCCGTCTTTTGGAATAGACGTCTCCTACGAGTGAGTGTGCATCAGGGCAGAATTAGTAGGTAGGTCTTAACCCTATAATGCTAATTTCACTCCTTACTGCAGAGTTAGAAAACACGGAGTAGGTAAAGCCTTCCGGACGTCGATTCCCTCCTTCCTATCCATACTGATTATGAGCATGGTGTTTTCACAAATGACTCTAACTCCGGAGGCATTCAAGGTCATTGATGTTCTTGTTTCCTATTAATACGTTCAGGCTTCGACAATGGAGGCCAGCTGTGGGTTTCTGTAACCAGACGATTCTATTGGCAGATATTCTGCAGATAATCCATCCTGTTTGGAGTGGCCATTTGAAGCTATCGCTTGGTTAGTTTTTGAGGTCTCATTACATGTACTTGGAATGCATTCAAGCTGGCATTTTCAGAGATGAGGAAATTGAGGTTTTTAACATGAAGTGTCAGACAAGGAGAGAGGACGGTGCACACTTTTTCAGGACTTCTGAAGCCAGCGTGGACTCAAAAAGGCTATTTGAATGTTATGAATCTCAAGAAAGCTTTGCAAATCTTTTACTGTCGTTTTGAGATACTTTCGAATTTGATGTGACACTTTTCATTATATAGTAATTACTTTACAGATAATTTGGGACACCTCTAGTCCCTTGAGAGCACTTTGAAGCTTTCTGTCACTCCAAGTAGCTAATTTAGGGCTCTGAAAATTATTACCAGTACTCAAGTGGGTCTTGTAAAAAGAATTATTGGTATGGCTGATATTTTGGCAGGATTTAATGACTTGTTTCTAAAATCCCCCTCAGGTCTTTGGAAAGAACCAAATCCTGGCCATTTATCACAGGAAAGTTAACTTCTGCTTTCTTAGGATTGGTTGAGGCATCATTGTGGTGGGTCCCAAGGCAGTGAGGGAATGATGACACTATGACGTTATGTGGAAGGGTTGGCTGATAAGCTTACATTAGAAGAAACTCATCACCAGCAGAAGCTGTCTTAAGTCTTTTTTTTTTTTTTTTTTTAATTTGGTATGAACACCTATGAACTGTTTTTACTAAGCACTTCTAATGTCAAATGTATATACCCTCTTCACCCCCAACTCTTTGGACAGCAACAGTGTGTCCAACAATTCATTTTAATTCTGACAGTAACCACCTGGAATTAGCAGTTAGTATCCCACAGGTTAAGGGCTTAGTCCCACAAAACTGGACCCACCACCCCCATTTCAGACACTATTCACAGTGTCACAGCATCAACTATGTGCCAGGAGTTGGAGATAATGGCAGTGAACCAGACACACATCTCTGACCTCAGCGATCATTCCAAGTTGGTTGGGGGGGAGGCCATTCCATAAGCCAAATGTAAACAATGAAACAGTAAGTACAGCAGGTCCTCAAATAACTATGGCTTTGTTCAATGTATTAAATGTCATTTTGTTATAACATTAATGAGATGCTGTAGGAACCTGACTCTTGTTTATATCAATTAGCCTATGGTAATTTTGTTATACATTTTGCTTAAAGTCATAGGACCTATCAACTATTTTAAGTAAGAACTATGCTGATACTGTAACAAGACCTTGTGGTAGAGTAGCATTGGGTAGGTTGCTGGGGAAGCCTGTCTGAGAAGGTGCCCCTGGAATTGAGACTGATCAGTGAGAAAAGGCACCCATGTGAGGGCCTCAGTACGGAACCTGCCAGGATGTTCGAGGAACAAAAGTGAGTCTTGAGTAGCTGGAATGTCATAGATCAGGTAGATTAGGTCAGAAAGATGGGCAGGGCCTGATGTGGCCAGAGACTGTTGGCCACCACTAGAATTTGGTTATTCTGGTTGCAGTGAGAGGCTGTTGGAGGATTTTGAACAGGGGAGAGCTGTGGTTTATTTACATTTAGAAGATCACTTTGGGTGTTGTGAAGCCTGGACTGTATTGGGGACTAGAGTGGATGTAGGAAGAGCAGTGAGAGCTGTTTATTCAGTGAATATTTTTTAAATGCCTCCTTCTATGTGTAACTGGTGTTCTAGGCTTTAGCAGTGAACAAAAATCCTTCCTGATGGAGCTTGAGTCCTGGCAATCCGCTGTTGCTGTAGTCTGAGAAGGAGACAATGTGATAACTTAATTTAGGCTGTAGTGGTAAGTATAGTGAGGTGCCGTTGGCTTCTGGGTATATTTTAGAGGTGGAGATGGACTTTTGTATGAATTAGAAGTAGGATGTGGGCATGAGAGAGATTTGATTTTTGGCATAGGTAAATGATGGTGACATTTACTGAGGTGAGGTAGGTGGCTGGTAGGGATGAGGAGGATATTGGGCAAGGAAAACCCACGGTTTCTTTTTGGCTTTGTAACATTTGAGATGTCTATTAAAAATTAAATGAGAATGTCAAGTCACCAGTTGGATATTTAAGTGGGGAGAAGTTTGAGGTTGGTGATAGGAATTTGAGGGACTTTGAGGACCATCAGGAAGAATGTGTAACCCAAGAAAGAGTCTGGGCTTTGGACTTAGGTCTGGGTTTGACTTGAGAAATCTGGACAGCAAGGGCTGGTTTGACTGTACATGTTACTTGCCCTCTGTTAACCTCCGTTTTCCTCAACTGTAAAATGGGTGTGATAATTCTCCCTAGAATTATTATGAGTATTAGACGTGATAAGAAGTATCTAGTACAGGGTTTGGCACACCTGTTTGGTTATTGTCCACCTGTACCTAGACATCTTCACGTCATCTTATTTTATTTTTGCATTGACTCTGATATACGCTTGGGTTTTGATTAGGTTGTTGGCTAATGAATGCTCATGGAAGCAGAGATTAGAGGAGTGATCACTCAACACCTTCTAAGTACCCAGCACAGTGGTAGGCCTCTAGAGACTGGTTGATGAACACAGACCTTCCTTCCTTTCCTGGAATTTATGGGGTAATTGGGGGATGGAGGTATGAGGGAAGCTAGCTACAGAAAATGACAGTACATACTGTGAGAGGAAATGAGAAGTGTAATGGAAAAATCTAGACAATTCTTCCAAGGCAGTTTGAAAATAAGGCTTGGCAGGGTTTAGGCAGTGTAGGCAGTGATGATAATAAAAACAGTAGCTGAAGTTTCTTTCATGCCCATAGTGTACTGTCTCTTTCTTACACTGTATCATTCTTCACAACCCAGTGGGGTGGGTAATGTTCTAATTGGCCTCTTTTTGGAGGTGAGGCAACTGAAGTACAGAGAAATAAATTAATTTGATTGATGTTACATGGTGGTAGAGCCAGTCCTTGAACACTGGTCTACCTGACTCCAGTTTGAGCACTTAACTGCTAGACTGCGATTCCTGATTATTCTTATTACAATAGTAATAAATGATAATGAGTAACACTTGCTTATTATTGTTGCTTATGGTGACTGTAAGTCAGTTTTGAATACACAGCTATTAGGCTGTTTTGGTAGATATTGGTGGTTGCCAGTTGTTATGGGTGGGCGAGGTTTAGCTTCTTCCTCATAACCTTGTCCAGGTTATAATAAAGCAAGTCTCAGAGCAAATTCTGCAACTTATGCAGACTTTATTGGCAGGCAGGCATGGAACAGTCATGCCGCCTGATCTGAGCTTCATAAATTTCCAGCTCTTCGCCCTTGGTGCATTGCTGTGCAACCTGCATGTTCACCTGAGGCAGGTGTGAGAACATTCTAGTAGGCAGAACTTAATTGAGACTGGCCAAACCAGCAAAACCACATGGATTTATCAGGCCCACGGTGCCATTCTCAGGGTGAAAATTCTATCCTTATAACCGGCTCATGTAAGGGCAGGAATGTTTTTTGCCCAGGCCAAGATATTTCCAGCTTGATCATGTTACTTGAACAGTGAGCTTTTTCTCAATGAAAGCACATTTCTCATGTCCTTCGTGTAAATTAACAAAGCCACAAGTGTCGCCTGGGACTGTCCATTGTCAAATTTAAATAAAGCCGGACATTAGTTATAGCAGTGAAAACATTTTATTCAGTAACTGCTGATAGTTGAGAAAGAGCCCAGCTCCATTTTGATTTGCATGGAAATGACTGGGAGTTTTAAACAGAGAATAAGCAAGTAAGGAAGAGGGAGGAGGAGCACATGGGGGCCCAAGTATGCATTAGAGAAGTGTGAAGTTACAGAGGGTTGATCAGCGTACCTGCGATTAGGCCAGCTGTGTCTGCCAGTCGGCAAGTTAGGATTCTCTCCTTCCATAGAGACTGGGAGGCCCTATCCTTCTATTTCAAAGGAATGGCTTTTGGGTCCTTGAGAAAGACACTCCA